GGCGTTCCGCCCGCGTGGTGCCCAACCCCGCCGAGAACTTCAGGTGAGGGGGCGAGCCGGGGCCTCGGGGGGCTCCCGTCCCCCCCGACACCCCCCGGGCAGCCCGGGGTGTCCCGGGGCGCCGGGCCCTGCGCCCGCGCGCGGCTCCCGCTCACCCCCCGGGGCCTTTCCTTCCTCTCCAGGCAGTTCTGCACGGGCGAATTCAGGTGGGTGTTTCGATGCCGCCCGCGACGCGGCGCAAACGGCGCCGCCGGGACCGTTCTGTGCGGGGCAGAGGGTGCCTGGGATGTTGTGGTGATTTTTCCTCTTATCCTCATAGGAAGGACGGCGTTCCCATCGGCTATAAAGGAAGCACTTTCCACAGGTAGCTCTTGTGCTCTGGGGTACTCACTTAAACGTAACTGGACGCGGATTTTTAGAGCCTCATTAGCTTCCGAGGTGATTTTTAAGCCTGGAGGAGCGATGACTGCTGGCGTCATCTCTCCTTTGGGGAATTTAGGATATTCTGGGGCAAAAAGAGCCTTTTTGGAGCTCTTGAGTTGCCTTGAGGGTAACTTTGCAGGGAGTCCACCCAGTCAGAGCTTATGTTCTTGCATATATCCCCTAATTTCCATCTTTTTTCAGTAATAGCAGGTCACAAATTACTCTATATAAACCCTAGTTATTATTCAGTATGTTTTTTGCATTGTAAAGTTTACAGATTTTGGTGTATTTTTTTTCCCTTGTGAGAAGTAACTCCTGTTCTCTGACAGTAAGCCCCTTAGGCTTTTTTTTTCTTTTTCTTCTTTTGGTCTAAGTATTGTCTTACTATTTTCAGGGTAATAAAGGATTTCATGATCCAAGGAGGAGACTTCGTAAATGTACGTACTTCTGCGTTTTGTTGGTGCTTTTCCTGCATGGTTCAACATGCACCTACCTGGAGGTTTCCTTGCAGCATTCCTACTGTCTTACTGCAGCTTACCTGGACACAAATCTTACCACAAAATTGTCCCTTTAAAATAGCATAAGCTAAGGGCTTTTCTAATTTGCAGGGATTTTTTTGCTTTGTTGCCCTTCTATTCCCTGCCGGGAAAGAACCTAACAAATTTCTGTTGGCTTTTTTGGAGAGAGACATAAATCATTTTATATCTGAGGTGGGTGATGGGAAAAAAAAAAACCTTTTTAACACAAAACTCTTTTTTGTGAAAGCCAAGAGAACTGACTGCAGCGTGTGGCTCAGCCATGCTGGGTTTTGGGGCAGTTCTTAACCATCGTTGCTGATTGAATGTCCCTGTAGCTTCGTTACTTCCTCTGGAGCTCAATGAGTTTGGCAGGATGCCCTAGAAATTGCAACTTCTTAATTAGACTTAATACAAAGCTATTTGGGGACCACGAATGGCCACGCCGGCCGTTTCTGGTTAGAGGTGAAATGCCCGGCCGCGCTCCCCGGTGGCGTTTCGATGGCAGCCCTGCAGCGATGTGGGGCTTAGTTTAACAATGTCCTTTTGTTGGGGGGTTTAAATCCGCGCTGCAAAACCAAGGCTGCTGCTGAGCGGGCGCTTCTGCCGCGCAGGGAGACGGCACCGGGGTGGCCAGTATTTACCGAGGGCCCTTTGCAGACGAGAACTTCAAGCTCAAACACTCGGCTCCTGGCCTGCTCTCTATGGTGAGTATGAACTGATGAAACCGTGACATGGAGAAGATTTTTGGCGCTTTCTTGGTGCCTTTTTGTCAAACGGAAAAGTTATTGGTCACACAACAACACTCTCCCATCAGCCTCCAAAAGACTTGCTTTTTAAAGCAAAGATTACTCGGGGATTAATGTATGGAGTAACACCAGGATCCTGATGCTGCATCACTCTTTTCTCCTTATCTCTTCTGGGACAAGCTTGATTTGATCTGCTTTTAGAACAGCCTGATTCTCCCAGAGTTTGTACAAGAAACAGATTTGGGAGTTTCCAAGCCGTAGCAATGTCACCATGGTCTCTTTTGTAATCTGTACTTCCTGCTCAACATAGTAAGAAAAACTGCAACAATTGCATGTTGTCAGGTAGGAACCATACCCTATTTTTTGCAACAAAACCAAGGAGGGCCAGTGTTGCTGTGCACAGTGGTTTGTTCCCCAGCTCTTCTAGCTGCCTCGTCCTTAAAAAGCACTCGGATCAGTTATTAGTTCAGTTCAAAGCATGGCCCTAAAGGAGGTGTCAAGAAATGGGCGAGGGCAAAGGGAGAAGGCCCAGGAGCCTGCTCTTGTGTCTCGTGTTTGGCCAAAGGGCTTTGGAAAATGACCGTGGCCTCAAGAGGCACAGAGAGGTTTCCCCAGAGCGGGTGCTCTGGGTCGTGCTGTTCCCTTCGTCACGCCGTTCCCGTATTCCCGTGCCAATGTCACTGCTGGCTCCCTCATCCGGATCATTTGAACGCAAAGAACAAACACAACCCCTTTTATTCTGAGGCCACCTCCCAAGCAAGTCAGTAGTCACCAGAAAGGGGAGCGTTGTGTCTCGAGGCCACCTCTCAGCACAGTCTAGTGCTGCTCGTGCCTTTGCAGGAATGGAAGAGTTGGTTGCTTCCTCTGCGTAGTAAGAAGCTAAAATTAACCCCGGGGGACCTTGAGAGCAAAAGCTCTTTCCTATTTGTGATTTTCAAATTCACCCCCCAGGCAAACAGTGGTCCGAGTACCAACGGCTGCCAGTTTTTCATCACGTGCTCCAAATGTGACTGGTTGGATGGGAAACACGTGGTGTTCGGTGAGTACCTGCAGGGGCTGGAGCTGCTCGTGGGCACCCTCGGGGGCGTCGCAGCCTGCTTGCTCCTTCCCTTTCCCTTGCACGGGAGGAGAAAATATTTTTTCCCCGAATTAGCTTTTATTCAGAACAAATCCCAAATCAGTTTGTTGTGTGATCATGTAAATTGTGCCGGTGCAGAGGGACTGCTGGGGGAGGAGTACCTGTCTCCTCTGCTGTCAGGGAGTGGGACAGGCACCAAGTTAAGCTTTCGGCAGAGGACTTTAGGTAGTCACAAACCCACATCTGCTCACTTTCCTGCACTGCCTCTTGAGCTGTAGGACTTCAAGGCCTGGCAATAAGTCCAGGCCCTGCTTCTTATCATTACTTCCAAGTAATGGTAATTTTGACAAAAAAATCGACAGGATTAAGCCATACTAAAATTAGTCCTTGTCAATGTTGTGTTCTTGCAAACGTTGTCTCAATGGAGATGTAGCTTGTGCTGTGCTTCAACACAGCTGGCAAAGGTAGGTCTTGAGGTTTGGGTTGGGAAAATGCTGTTAAACTGTCCTGAACACAGAAAACGCTAGAAGAGGAATCGTTTCCTTTGTCAGTCTAGAGAGGGGTGACAAAGGTGCCCAGCTGGTGTGCTGGAGGAGCAAGAATCCATATCAATGTGATTAATTGGGAGCCACAGGACATAAAAATAGGTCTTACTGAAACTGATTTATTTTCCCATTCTAGGTAAAATCATTGATGGGCTTTTGGTCATGAGAAAAATTGAGGTAAGTTGAATTTACCCTTTTTTTTATTGTGAATGTCCCCCTTAGAAAATAACATGGGGGAGATACAATGCTTGTTTTCTCCCCCTGCCTGTGTTCAGGACAGCAGGGAACACTAGCGACGGTAAATGGTGTTATTAGTCGTCATCATTATAAAATAATAGGAGCTCTGCTGAGACAGAGGCCGTGTCCTATAGATTAACTTTAGAAATGCTGTGTCCCTGTGACAGCTAGTTGGCTTTTGGGTTCTCGTGACATTATTTGCGATGTGTTGGGTTTGTTCGTGAAGCTGAATTGAAAAGTTGTTCCCTCAGCAACTCGGATGAGAGTGTAAAGCGGATCGCTTCTGTGTCACCGCGTGGGATTATTCAGTGAATGCTACATCATCAGTTCAGCTGGGCTAGGATCAGCATTTCTAGTAAGGAAAATTGCC